AAGCAAGGGCCCTGGAGAAAGTGACCGTGACAGGAGAGGGGGGCAGAGTGGGAAGTCATCTTCCTCTCTGGACCCTGCAAATTCTGGAGAGTGGGGAGGATCTGCAGGATGTCTCAGTCTCTGCTGAGTTCTCAGAGTGTAGATTCTATGGTGGGGGGGCTACTTCACCAAGGCCATGACTAACATGGGAGACAGGGTCCTGGCTGCAGAGTATGCAGAGGACCCAGGAAGGCCAAGTATTGAGATCTGTTGGGGGGAAATGGAGGGATATAAGATTTAAGATACTACCAATCACCAGGATTGAGTGAAGGGCAGAGAGTGAGTTCTCTGAAAGTCCAAGAGCATCATGAGTAGGACCTGGGTTCTGGAGTCTTTGAGGGAGGATTTGAAAGAAGAGCTCTCAAGAGATCTGGTTGCACTGACCCTGTTCCTGCTCCTTTTAGATCTAAAAGCCGGTGAGAAGAAGCCCGGCGTGGATCTTTGCAGCAGTCATTGTTCGTATTTTCTAGATTGTCCACGAGAAAATACCATACGCTGTTCAACCTACTGTGGGAATGTTTGCATGAGCCTCCAGTGAGGGGGTGAGGGGGCTGGGCTGTGCCTCCTGTTCCCCCAACCCTTTTTGCAGACCAAATCAGGAGGATCTCAGATCCCGGGCACCAGGATGCCAACAGGAATGCACCCTCCCCCGTCTGAACTGCTTGTTCCTGTCAAATAAACCAGAACAAATGTCCACAGACCTGCTCATTTTAGTCCCAGTGCTTGTGATCATCGAAGACCCAGTGCAGACCCCAAAGTGGCCCCCTCTCTTGGTCCAGGTCTCTGATCTCTCTCCCCTTGTCATTCTTCTCTAGTCTCTCTCCCATTGGCCCCTGCACCCCTGCCAGGTCCCCAGGGCCCAGCCTCATTGTTGATCTGCTCACTGAACCAGTACTCCCAGGGAGAAACTGCTCATGTATGGTATCTCCAATGCTAACCAGAACATTCCTCAGCCTGGGGTCAGAAGGGCCAATTTAAACATGAGGCAGGTGGAGGCTAGACCCTGGCCACAGAGTAGGAGGTCCCCGGGGAGGCTTCTTCTTAAACTTGACCCACCCCCATCCCATTCTCCCCATTCTCCTTGTGAGGTTCAGATAACTGTCCTTTTACAATGAAGAAAACCAATCCGAGGGAAGTTAAGGCACATGCTCGAGGCAAAAGAGAGTGAGCAGTCATGATGTGGCTAGAGGAGGATGTTTGTCTGGACCTCCTGTTTGCTCACAGCTCCTCCATTATGGGGAGACCATGTGCATGGAAGTGAGTGTCCACACTAACATCTCCCACCCCATCCACCACCAATATGGCCACTCTTGGGATGGGGCCTGGAACGAGGTACCAGGACCTGAGACTCCAGGGCCTTCCCTCAACTGAATAGTCCCCACCTTTCCCCAAGCCCCCTCCATAGGGTCTCATTCTCTCCCTTTTCTAATCCAGGGAGAAACCACATGGTGGGCAACAGGTGATTAAAGGTGATGCTACTAAGGATCAATTGGCTACTAAGGGTGGCTATGGGTGTTGCCCATGGTCTCAGGGAGAATCGGTGGACCTTAATCACTGAGGGACAGACTCCGGACCACTCTGTGCAAGCACAGCTGCTCTGAGGTGGTCCTGGGGCTAAATCCAGGGACTAGGTGCCCAGTGGGGACATGGAGTCAAGTGGGAAGAACCCCAGCAGGCAGGCAGGTGGGCCTTGCTGGAGGTAGGTGTGCAGTGTCACACTCCAGTCCAGTGTTTCCTGCTGGGCACCAGTGAAGGATTGTCCAGAGGAGGAAACCCGCCTCTCTCAGGCCAGAGCCTCTAGCCCACCTCAGAAGCATCCCAGGGCTCCTGGTATCAGAGGAGCTTCTCCACCTCTCCTCGGACCTGCCCTTGGACCAGGAGACCTTAGGAAAGAGATCATGATCAAGCAGCCCTTGGACCAGGAGACCTTAGGAAAGAGATTATGATCAACCAGTAGCACAGACATCATCAGACACAGGTGGGCGACGAGAGCATGCTCTGCAGGAGCTCTGACTTGGTGCTTCCTCACATAGCTTGACTCTGCAAGCATCTTCCCAGTGTTTGGCCATGCTCCAAACACCCTGGGAGAGACTATTAAGAGACAAGGCAAGGTTACCTGCCAGGGCCCACATAGGGAGTGACCTTCCACTTCTACAACCAGTGCTCCCTACCATGTGGGTACACCATGCTGCCGGCTGACCTATTCCTTACCACTGGCATGAGCACCTCGGACCATGAATTCTACTGGAAGCAGCTGGTCTTCTCCGTTATGATAACTGGTGTCCTGGCTGTGTTCCACAGAGCTCTCTGGACACTCACTCTACCCTGCCCCAGTGGACTCAGAGGCTACACCTAGAATGCTTTGACTGGAGGAGTGCTTGCCTGGCCAGCACTCCATGTTCTGTGCTATGGAACAGCTGTGTGCCCCTATGGTAGGTCGAGAGGAGGAGTGGGGGACCCCTGCAAGACCTTGACTCTCATGGAGGCAGAGGAGGGAGCTAACGTAAATTATGCCATGACTTGGGTGTTCAAAAAGCCAAGTCCCAGCCTGTGGAGAATTGTTGATCAGGCTGGTCTGTCTGCGACAAATACACGGCCTCGAGGTTGTCATGGTTTCTGTAGTAATTGTTCTCTCCTCATGCTCCAGCCATGCTCCTTCTCTATGTCAGTGCAGATGGGAGGACTCTAGAAGTATCTTCCGCATCTCATACACCATGATGATGGTCAACTCCTGCCTCATATCCATCCTTTGGGTGCCCCCAATGCTCACAAGTGGGTCATACTGATGCCTGCACCCACAAAGTGTGTCCCACCACCACCTCTGGTAGTAAACTGTGTCATAACAAACCCAGGGTGCCTAAATCAGGAGCTATAGGAAGTTATCTGGAATGCAAGTGTTGGCTTTAGGTGCTGAGTGCAAGATCTACCACTAAGAAATGCTCTTTGGCCCAAATATTAGAATGGGCATATGGGCATGACATGCAGGATTTAAGGAAGGCTCTATCTTGAGGAAGTTATTTATAAGCCTAAAATCCTACCATTAAAATTACATTCTCTAGGAGTGTATACCCATCAGTGAGTGTAGTGTCTGTCCAGTGTCTTAGCTTGGGAAGGGTTCACTTCCTGGAAAGCATTAGTGGGTGGGTGTGAGAAGGTAGAAGAATCTACATGAGAGAACACCATGCATCTGAATTCTAAGGATATTCTGGGTCACTGTTGCTGGGTATATGGAGGTTCCTTTTTATGTGGATTCAGGTTTCCTTTATTGATGGAATGCTTTCTAGTTTTAAATATTGTTAACTTTGTGGGGGTTTTTTTGAAAACTCCAATTATATTTATTTATTTAGGTTTTCTTTATCCATCTTCTTTATTAATCTTTCTCTCATTGTTTTTACTTTTTGCATTTTATTTTGCATTTATTTCTTTTTTTTAATTTAAATTCAATTAGCCACGGTATAGTACATCATTAATTTTTGATATAATGTTCAATGATTCATTAGTTGAATATTGTCTTCTTTCATTCTTTTTCAATGCCTCTTGTAGTTCAGCTGAATTTATTCTGTCTTGAAATCTTGTAACAATCTTTATTTCTGAGATGACCTTTAACTTTTTCTTTGATTTTTTTTGTTCTGTCCACCTCTTATTTCAGGTCTTCCTGGATTTTTGGCTACTTATGTGCTGAGTTTTTAAATTTCTGATTCAAGGTATTTTTTTATCTGTTAAAATCTTTGTTTACAGATGTTTATTTAATTAAAGTTGCAGGTGTTGTATTTCCCTTCTCCCTGACAAGATGTTTCTGGTGGGAGATTTTTTTTTCACAGAAATGTTTCCATTTTCATTCATTCTGTTTTCTTTAATAGTAGTTTTACATTGAAGTTGTCTAATATTTTTTCATTAACCTTCTAACATCTTGTTTTAATGGACCAGCAGAGACAGTTTTATGCTCAAATTGTTCTAGGCTTTGGCTACTGGGAACTCTTTAAGGTTATTTCCTGTTTCCCATTCTTTGACTTTATAACATTTCCTTACTTTCTGACCCTAAAAGATACTCCAGTGTCATCTTGTATTTTCTAAGCCTAGTTCTAGAATCAGCCATTTCTCCAAGAAGCCTTGGTCCATTTATTGGAGAATGGTAATAAAAACCAAGATCTGGGCTCCTGGTGTGCTTATTGCTACTGTGTTATCACTGTTCCCAGGCATAGCCAGGAAATATACACATGTGTAACTAATCCATGTATACACTCGTCTATTTTACTTCTGCATCTCTCTGTATATATATTGAGCTGAATGAGGGTTCATATTGATGTCTCTGACTCGAATCCAGTACCCCCAGGGCTCATCTAGCCTTCCATTTTGCTTATTTGTAACTTCTTCTCTCTTAGTTAGAAACAAGGCTCCCATCATCCCCGGTTATTTACTTATTTGTCCAATCTTATATACTATCTTATATACATCTTATATACATGTAAAGTCATTTTAGAATTTTTACGCAGGGGTGCCTGGGTGGCTCATTCGGTTAAGTGTCCCTTTCTTGATTTTGGCTCAGATCATGATCTCAGGATCATGGGCTGGGCATGAGGCCTGCTTGGGATTCTCTCTCTCCCTCTCCCTCTTTCCCTGCCCCCTGCTCATGCACGCTTTCTCTCTCTCTCTCTCTCTCTAAAAAAAAAAAAAAAAGAATTGTTTACCCATACCCTGTGAGAAACAAATTTACCAGAGATCTGCTCTCTGAAAAACCAAATGAAAGAGCTACTTGCCAGTTACCCATATGAAAATGACATACTAGAAATAAACTTCTATTTTGTGAAACCCATGAGATTAGCCTCAGTTCTAAGGTAATCAAATGAGGAAGCAAGAGTTAGAAGCTATGTAGCCTGTAGGATGTGAACAATTTGGGGGGTATAATAGGGCAATCAAAGAGAGTGGAAGGGAGTTGAAAAAGCCAAAGCCACTGCTGATAAATGAGTTTATTTGTCAAGGATTTGCTCTTGCCCAGCCCTCAGTGTGAACAGACTGGTGTCCTGCTGGGAGGTTAGGGTTTAGACCTCATGCAAAGATTTCCTGCAAGACAGAAAGGTTATATACTCAGAGGCTAAGGGAACTCTGAGGAACAAGCATTCATTCCCAAGCTTAATATTACCCATCCCCACCAAACGCCCGACCTGAGTACTTTATGTAACACCAAGAATTGTACACTTCTGGGGTGGGGAGGTGGGTTTGGTTCATTGAACAGAGAAATGTAGAGATTTGGGGCCTGGCTGGGCCAAAAGGATTCATTGAAAGGTCTGACTATGGAGGCAATGATTAGAAATTTGGACAAAAATTGGGAAGAGAGCAAACAATTGAGTAATATAACGAAGACAACATAGGCATTGATTATATAATGAAAGAAACAATGTGCCCCAAGCTGGTGTCTTGGTTTATTTGCCACTGAACTGCTGTCCAGGCTTAGGGGATATTATCATCCACTATTTTTGTGCCTAGGATTTGGGGTGCCTCAGTCTTCTGTTTATGAATAACAGCATCTGAGAATCAGTGAAGACCCATGCCCAAGCACACCTCCCAACTCACTTTATTTTTCCAGCAGATGTTTCCACAATAGGTCCAGCAGCATGTGTAATTTTTGTTTGTACATTTAAGGGCTCTAGAGCACTTCTTGGTACATTCAATGACACTTGGCTCTCCCCAGCACTCCTCAATGAACATTTCATCCCCTGTAATTGACATGAGATAGAAAGAGGCTGACAGGGGCCACATAGCCAAGGTGGGAAGAGAAGTCCTTCATAAGCTTAACAGCCCCTTCTAGAATCCTAGCCCCACCCAGGTATCCATCTGCCTTATGAGAAAATCCCTGTTGAGCCTCCTCGTTACATCTTCACAGATCTCTGCCTTCTCTGCTCCCACAGGCCTCTGGGCCCTCGTCAAGCCTCCTAGATATAGGATTCAGCATACCCCCCCCCCACACACACACACACACTCATGTGTCCTCCTATAAAATCTACATTTCTGTAATAGGAGACCTCAGGGCCCAAGGCAGCCTCTAGCCTCATTACTATACCTACTTCCTAGTGTGGGAAGCCAGACCAGGGAGAATAAGGAACAGATTCTCTCCCTTTTTCTTCTCTTTCTTGTTGACCCTGCCTTTAAGAACAGCTTCTCACCAAATTTTTCTCTCTCTCACCCATTTTCTTAGCACCCTCCACTGATTCCATTTTCTCATCATATGGCCCTCAACTTTGCCCCACTAGAGAGACATCTCATGTCTCTTTTCTATCTTTTCACATTCTAAAAGATCTGCCACTGAAACTAAGGGTATATATTAAGAAATCCCCCTATAGTACTCATCGAAGTACACACAGCTAAGACACAGAGCTTCTGGAGATATGGAAAGATATGGTAGCCTGACATGGAAAAATAATATGTCTTTATAACTAATTGAATGTATATAAAAGGTGACAGGTACCCATTGCCACTTTCAAGGTTGGAAGAAGAAGCATCGAAGGACCTCAACTTGGACATTCCTTAGATCTCTGTGCATAAAAAAAGTCTCTGAAACTTTAATAGGTGACCCAGGGAAGGTGGGTCCTGAGTCCTGAGTCAGATGTGCCAGACACATACCCCTTCGCTTGTCCAGGAACAAGCACAGTACCCCCAGGACACAGTACCCCCACCCCCAGGCTAATCACTTACAGCTGTATTTTTCCTTCATCACTCCCAGCACAGACAGTAGCTCCATACAGAGGAATGTCACGAGTTGAGGTGTCCAGAGCTTCATGATGCTGACTGTATGTGTCTGAATATATACTGTCAGGATGTTTATCCCCTTTCCAGTTGCTGCTGGAAATCGAGAGATATAAACAGAGTTGTGAAGCAAGAAGAAGCGCTTATAGAAATTCTTTACTCTTTGTCTACTTATTCTTCCTTGCCCCCCACCCACCCAACAACAGGCACACACCTAAGCTGAACACTGGCTTTGCTAAAAGGTTTCTCTGCATCTCACACTTCATGCTTTCCTTTTATAGAAAAAAAATTATTTTAAAAATGTGTTGCCTTCCCTTGATGAAAAGATAATTCAAATCCAGCTGATAAAATACTTAAAACATAAAAAAGTACAAAGAAGACAATGAAATATTTCTAGCACCCCCACTATGTTGGACTATGTTATTCTGTCTTCTATATGTGCACATAAAACTGAAATCATATCAGGCTTGCTGTCTATATCTTGACTTTTTATTTAAAAATGTGTAACATGATATTCGGGGCGCCTGAGTGGCTCAGTCAGTTAAGCATCCGACTCCTGATTTCTGCTCAGGTCATGATTTCGGGGTCGTGAGATTGAGCCCTGTGTCGGGCTCTGTGCTGAGCTTGGAGCCTGCTTAAGATTCTCTCTCTTCTGCTCCTCCCCCACCCCCCGGCTTGCATGCTCTCATTCTCTCTCTCTCTAAAAGAAAATTTTAATTAAAAAATTTTTTAAATAATAAAAATATGTAACATGATATTAAAATTAAAGTTTTGGCCAAGACCTTTGGATAGCCCCTAAAATGAGCTTGTGAGACAAGTCAACTTAAGATTTAAAGAAAATCTGCTCAAAAATCACCTGCAAAAAATACGTCAAGTACCTGGCCATTTTCCACATTTAAAACAAGTCAGGATTTTAAGAGTCACCAACCCCTTTTTCGTCATCTTTCTCTCTTGTTTTTAAAGAATGTTGTGCTCTTTTAATTCCAAGTCACTAGAAAGGCTTTAAGAATACCTCCCATAGAGCTTTATATGTGCCCCAAGGTTTTGTGGAGACATAGGCAGATGTCTGAGTCACACCAGAGAAACAAAGGGTAGGAGGCTGGCTGAAGTGACTTATGGCCACAGCAAGAGGCTAAGCCTCCGCTATGGCATTTGATAAGGCAATGTATGCAAGAAAGCCAGTGTGGATTTGCACTAGATTCATGTCAGGCAGGCTGCCTGGGAAGGCCATGGGACCTCAGCAGAAGGAAGTAGGAAGTGACTGGTCAGATGCCTAGGGTCTGGGAAAAGTGTCAGAAAGGAGGTGGGTTCAGCCATATCAAGACAACCACAGGTAAGAAACTTCCATCAGTTGGGGTTGGGGGAAGACTCAAAGAACCCACGAAACCACTACCAACAGAGTCAACTATAAGCAATACTAAGCCCAGAAAGCACAAAGCACAAAAGTACAATACTCCCTGCCAGAAAGAACTGTCCTGACCTCCTCATCTCTTCTCCCTTGTCCACTTCCAAAATGTCACTTAGCCATCTGCAGGAGGAGAGGAAAACTGGTCACTCTCTTCCCCAATTGCAGGTTTCTAGGTGTGGCGGAAGCCACGATTTTAATTCAATTTTCGTATTTTGACTATTGCCTGGGCTTAGACTTTTTTTTAATATATTCTAAGTTTAGGCAGTGTCTAGAAAATTGAAGTTCTATACCCAAGCTCTCATACAGAGGCAGGAAAAGAAGTCACTTTAATGAGTAAATTTAAATGAGACAAAGGACAAACTTTTCAACAGATTATCAGTAACACTCCCTGTGAATATTTTCCCAATATGCTAGTTACACATATCATTCAAATGGTCCCGTTGATCATAAGACATCTGAAAATTTATAATTTCTCTTCTTTAGAAAAAAAAAAATCAATAGGCACCAACTTGCAACTAAAATTCAGTTAAATCTGGTATTAGCTTCAGAGCACAAATGTAGAGATCTAGAAGTGCTGAGTAAAGGGTACTGCCTATTTCAAACCCTACATAGCTGTTGCCAGTTTTCTTCTCCATTAAGACTGGTTTATTGTGCCCATCTTGTCTCACCATAAAAAGGAAATTCTCTCCCACTTGTTACCACACTGAAGACTGTCAGTATTGTGTAGAACAGAGAACAAAATATCGGCACTGGAGTCAGAGAGACCTGGGTTTGAAACCCAACCCCAATGCATTGAGCTTAATTTAAGTTTTGGGATTGGTCTACTACCTAATTTCTCAGAGCCTCAGCTTCCCCCCCTGTAACATGGGGGCAATGTGAGAATCCACATCGCAAATGTTGAGTCTATGAAGCACCAAGCATAGGGTCTGGCCACAGAATGTGCAAAACAAATGGCCGTTATTGTTGTTATTTTTAGGCTCAGACTCTTTTCTTCTCTAGAGGAGTGAATGTTCATCTCATTAACTTTATTGTGGTCTTTTCTTTAAAAAAAAAAATTTTAACCTATTTGAAATTAATTCTGGTGAGTAAGTGGGGGCCCATATTTCACTCATCTGTCCTCAATTTATTCATCCCACAAATACTTATATTTAATGACTACTATAAGCCACTCTTTCAGACACTGAGGATACAGTAATGAACAAAATTACAAAAAATGCCTGTCCTTGTAAAGCTTACATTCTAGTACAGGGGACAGAAAATAAACAAGATATATAAAAGAAATACATAATAATAGATGGATATCAATGTGAAAGAGGAAAGATAAGAGAGGGTCAAGGACCTGGAACACAGAATATGCAAAATAAGTGCTAACTGTTATTTTAGGCAGCTCACTAGTGATGAGATTCAGGGTTCTGAAGGAAGAGGTTACCTACTGTTCCCCCAAATTTTCAGTCCTCTCCCCACTTCTCTCTCACTCCCAGTCTGGTGCTTCACACTCCCAAGGCCAAACAGAAGGACAGATAAAGGAAACAAAGATAAAAGAGAAGTCTGGATACTATGAATTATATAGTCACAGGAGAGTAATTGTCTCTTTCCTGGCAAGTGACCAATTTTCCCTCAAAATCTTTATTTTTGCTTCCACATTTTCAACAAAGCAGAAGATAACCTACATACATTGGTTGAAATCTCTTCAAATGCTCAAAAATAGACACAATATGTAGAGACATTCCCAAAGGTGCAAAACTCTTTAGAAGGGCTAACTTATTCTCTTCCTTGGCATATGTGAAAAGTTACAAAATAGGAAAATAAAATTTGAGGCATGTGGACCATTAGATGAGTTGTCTTTAACTTTTTAAGAACTATTCTTTGGAAATAATTCCAAAGTTACAAGTAAGAATAGTACCAAGAGCATCTGTATACCATTTGCTTAGGATCACCTATTTTAAGAATTTATCCATAATTACCTCCTCTTTCTCTCCCCTCCTCCATCTTACATATATATATTTCATATATATTTATATATTATATTTTTATGAACAACTTGAGAGTAAATATCACATATCATGGCTCTTATTTAGGAATAATATTTCAGTGAGTGTTATAGTAGGGACATTCTCTTACATGATCATAGTGCAATTAATCAATTTCATTAAATTTAACAGTGGTAAAACATACTTTTCTGTATTTACCTAAGCTACCATCAGTTTTCCATTTTATAAATTCACCCAATAACATCCTTTGTCTCTTATGACATTGAAATTTTTGAAGAATACAGCCAAATTTTTTTTAGTTGAACATTCCTCATTTTGGGATTTGTCTGAAATTTCTTCATGATTAGACAGACTCAGGTTATACATTCTCAGTGGGAATACCTAGGTAGGCATTACATAGTGTCCTTCTCAGGATATCACATGTGAAGGGACACAGTGTTCATCTACGTCATCTTTCTCTCTCTTTCTCTTGGTTTCTCCATTTTTTTAAGATTTTATTTATTTATTTGAGGGGCACCTGGGTGGCTCAGTCATTAAGCATCTGCCTTCTGCTCAGGTCATGATCCCAGGGTCTGGGATCGAGTCCCCATCAGGCTCCCTGTTCTGTAGGAGGCCTGCTTCTCCCTCTCCCACTCCCCCTGCTTGTGTTCCCTCTCTCACTGTTTCTCTCTGTCAAATAAATAAATAAATAAATAAATAAATAAATCTTTTTTTTACAAATTTTATTTATTTATTTGAGAGAGAGAGAGAGCATGACAGGGTGAGAGGGCAAGAGGGAGAGAGAAGGAGGGGGCAGACTCCCCACTGAGCAGGGATCCTGTCACAGGGCTCAATCCCAGGACCCCGAGATCATGACCTGAGCCAAAGGTAGATGCTTAACCGATTGAGCCACCCAAGTGCCCCTTGGTTTCTCCATTTGAACAACAAAGATAAGAATCTCTTCCATACAGGGATAGTGTTGGCATGCTCTGGAGCATGATTTGGACAGGGAACTCATCCAACCAAGCCACAAACAAGTGTTTGCTGGTTCCCACTTCTAGCCCCAGGACTCTGACCTCTACCTACCTCTGAAGATGTTCAAGTTGGAAGTGCTGGTAATTATTTGGCTGGTGGATCTTCTTCCTGGCTTCTGGGAACCACAGAGCCCCTGCACAGGGCAGACGATGAACAGAACAGATTTTAAAGACTCAGAATATAATCATGGTCCTGGCTGTGGCAGATCTGTGAGTTCTGCCCCAAGCTATAGTTGGGTACATTCAGAACATTATCACTGAATTCCTATTCAAAGAGTACTTCCTTTTTTCTTTTTTTGCGGCAGAGAATATAGACTGAAACAGAACACTGTGGAATTGCAGGAGACTCCTCTCCACCAACACATACATTTCTGGAAGTCTGGGCGATTGTGGAGGTGGGAGAGGATTTATGTATCTATTTTTCTCCAGCATCCGTGTGAAGACTTTGTAAAGCCCCATCCATCCTTGATACTAATTTCTCCATTGCTAGCATTAGCCTACATCTACCTTATCACTAACGTCTTGTGGCTTTTGTGCTGATAAGAAGAGAGAGGTCTACCAAGAGAGCTTGCGAAAGGCTACATAACATAGAGATTTAAAACGCAAACTTAAGCTGGATCCAAATCCTAGCTCCCACTTAAATTTGGGCAAGTCACTAACCCTCTCTGTGCCTCAATTTCCTTATATGCTAAATGGGGATAATAACAGCACTTTCCTCATAAGGTTTTTGTGAGAGTTCCATGAGTGATTATCTGTTAAGCACTTAGAGACAATGTCTGGCATAGAGGTCATGCTATGTTTGTTAAATAAACAAAAGAAACACTTACCCAATGGAGTGTCAAGAATTATTCAGTTTAAAACCAATATTATTCAGCCATCAGAAAGGATAAATACCCAGCTTTTACATCAACGTGGATGGGACTGGAGGAGATTATGCTAAGTGAAATAAGTCAAGCAGAGAAAGTCAATTATCATATGGTTTCACTTATTTGTGGA